AGATAGATTGCTTACCTTTAGCATATTATTAGCATATTTAACGACCAGAGCCACAATGAGACCGCCGGCTGAATGCAGAAGTATGATTAGCCATACGAGCCAATCGAATGCGTAAAAGAATCCATGCTTTCGTATCGATTCTCCCTCAGCATAGGTCTGTGCAATGAGCCCAACGATGAGCGAAACGCTGGCCAATTCCAAATTTCTCAGCCAGAGCGACTTCGTAGAGTTTTTAAGTAGCTGATACGACAATTTAGTAGAAAGAGAGGCATTGACTGAGGGTGAACAGAAAGTTGTCGGTAAAAGATATCTCGTGAGAAAGAAAAAATCAGCCAACACATGTGAACTGTCAATCAAGTTAAAGTCAAAGAAGAAAATGGCACTGCATACCGTGGTAACCAAAACTAGCAATCCAGTGTCTGGGTAAGTAAATGCAACAACTAATAGTACACATTTAGATGAGGCGAGTGTTGCAAGCGTGTACAAACAAATGCTTGTGACTGCCTCCTCACCGACGACGGAGAGGAAGTCAACTGAAAAGGCTGAAACTAAATACGGTGTTGATTGAAAAGGAAGGCTGGCATTTCGAGTGCACAAAAACAAACGGGCGAATGCAACGCGCTCTCATTCATTCCGGTTTTTAGATCAGTTGTCCCGCAGCAATGTGAGGGAATTTTTCTAAGCTTGGTATTCATCGGAAAGCTCAACCACCCAGTGAATTGAAATCAACTCTCATGGAACACAAGAAATTCAGATCATACCGCACACCGCAACGTGTCAAAGGAGTAAAAAAGGTTACGTGGCTCTATGCCACCAATGCGGGAACGACAAATCGACTATTTGCTACATAATGAAGGATGAGATGAATATTGGATCTAAGGCAAAAATGACTTTTAAAAAGACTGCAAAAAGAGTGGTCACTTCCCGCAACAAGGCAACCTGAATTCGCTCTCTGGATAAATTGTTCCTGTTTTGATATGTCCAACTGTTGCAAGCTTACATTTAGGCTAAAAAAGAATCCATACGCCAACAGTTATGGTGAACAAATTTCACGGAAAAAATGATCATAAAAATAGATCTTACTCCAAGGTCAGTGCGTAGTTCACTTGTTAGCTTGGCTTTGTTTTGTTTGTGAGGAAACGTGCAAGATAGGACACAAAAGAAGTTCGGTAAACGTTTATGGCGGACTGTGCAAAATACAGAAGCAGAACTAAAAAGAACTAACAGTTATGGGTAGGAGATAACAACAACTTAGCTTGTTAACTGCACGCAATTTTGACCTTTTCGCTTTGTTACTTTTGGGACTGCAGACAGGAAAGGGCACATTCGTGCCACTGACTTCGGTTCAATACCATATACAACAGTCCCCAGACAATGACAAGCTGAATCTTTGGGGCCCTAGCCGGGAAACCTCGACGAAAGCCGAATTCGAACGCATTTTTGCAAATCTCTAGGCCGCGCCATAGTTTGTCCAACTCGCTGTTTCATCCCGTTCGGACCATCGTCTGTAAATAGCGCACTGTAGAACAGACATTGTTCAGGCATGTGTAGGAAGTGTCCGGACACCTCACATGGTGCAGTGAAACGGTTTTGGCCAGTGGAAGACTATCTGACCCTAACACACATCGTCTGACCTAATCGTTACTTACACGATGATCCCACCACACGTGGGCAATGTTGTGCAGACAACGGCTGTCGAGGGTGGATATTCATTGGACTTGATCTGCTCGGAGAGGCCAAGTTTTGCATCCGTATAGCAACACGGCACATACTGGTGCGCGATGCACAATCCCTATCAGTGAAACGGATACGGCGCACCGGTGCCAGGGTAGTCACAGAGTAGCAAACGCCAAAATGGCTTTGATTATGCCTTGAAAGCTTTCCTCATCCAAACCTCCGTCAGGCATTATCGGATTCCCGAGGTAGATAACTCTCCCGACTAATTCCAGGGAGTCATTGCCTAACAAAAATACAGGAACAGGTTCCTGCCAACCTTGCAGCAACATCTCGTAGTCTGAGGGTGCAAAACACACGGTGGTGGCGGCGCAGTGGTTTAGTCGCTGTCACCGGTGTGCTTCGGACCCTGTGGTCCGAGGTTCGATCCCCGCCACCGCCAGCGAACTTGGGTGGTACGCAGCTCTTCTGTCGTCCGGTTTAATACCACGCCTAAAAACGTGGGGCCTTATGTGGTCCGCCACTAAGTCCTGGGGCTTAGGTCACCAGTTTCGATCACTGAGCAGCAGATCCTCATGATAATGGGGTTTTCCCCGTCTGCGGTTCATCACACAAATGTGTGCAATCAAAAACCATGCCAAACAAACTCAATTTCTCAGCGATTCAGCGAGTTTTGAATCGCCGGGGCGTTATCGCCGAGTAAGGCAGTTTCATCGGCATACCCGAAGTCTAAGACTCTGTTTCCAGAAAGAAGCTCAACGACAGCGTTTGTTACGTTAAGGACAGGCAAGACTTATACATATATAATGTACAAATGACTATAACCTGTGCTATACAAGTGCACAGGTGCTTCCTGGCTAAAGGAACTAAACATATATGACAGAGCAGGTCGCATACAGTACAACAGACTTACCAGCTCAAAGTAGATGCACGCAAACCCGGAAAGTATGGCGGCGCAAACGACATACACCAAACCAAGGGTAGGATTCAAAGGCTCAGAAGAATTACGTTGAGATGGTGGTTCCACAAAGGATACACCGATAAATAGCAAGCTTAAGGCAAACCACTGCATGAGTGAAATTGATTTCCGTAGGATAAGCACACTGAACAAGGCAGTCGTCAGCAACTTCAGCTGATATGCCACCTGGTACGGAAATTAAAGAAACCAAGCGTACCCACCTGAAAAGTCGCAGCATCCAAACATTCTAGAGCAGAGACCAGTAGACGGTTCTGCACTAGATAAATAAGCGCCGGAATACATGTCTTCACGGAATCCAGCATATTAGCTCGAAGGTAGGAAACAGAGGACCAGATTCCGTCGGTGAAGTGGATAACCAAAACGCATATGAGCATTTTCATTGCCTCGCTTAA